TTCATGGGAATTCTTGCTCTTGCCTGTGGCGAGTTCAGGGGTTTGCGACAACATGGGGACTTATCCTGCACTTTCATGAAGCTCCCAATTTTGTGCTTAATTGAAAATTTTTAAACTTTTTATATACTGTTAATGAATTCGTCTTGTTACAGAGATTTAATAACCTGGCTGAGAAATGGGGACTGCAGTTCTCCTTTAAATGAAAGCACAAAGGTTAGAAATATGAAAATGATCCCCAGACAAATAGCGATGAAGTCAGAATGGTTCTCTGAACCGAGAACCCGTCTCTGTGGATATTTCGCACTGTCTGAGCAAGAGGTCATACCAGCAATTCCAGACAGAATGCAGATAACGTTGGTGCTAATACAAACTGACTGCTCTGAAGTTTTCAGGTTACACTTGTTTTAAGCAAGAAGTTGTCTGGCTTAGTTTTCCGTGACATTACCTTATACATTTTTTACACATGGTTTAACACATAGCTAACAAGGTCATCCCTTGTCAATTGTATCAGCTTCTAACGTAGAGAAGCAAACAGAAGTGCATCAGTTTTCCAAGTCTGGAAATGCGGTTTTAGAGAATGCACTGGCAGTGTTCCAGCATGATGCATGTCAGATCAGTTGGACAGGACTGCTTGTGCTCGTGTTCATGTGTTACCGAGTCACTAGAGGCCTTGGTGGACTTAAAAGAGATAGTCAGGGGTTTTAAACAAACAAAAACTGCAGCTCTTTCTAATGTGAAGGCTAATTCAATATTTGTGGGAAAACTTTTGACTGACTGATATCTTGCTTTCAAAGTGAAGGGTAGAGTTTGAAACCACAAATAAACAGTTCTTCTAGTACGGTCTGAGTCTACAAGAGCCTGGGGAATGACTACATACATTTCAGCTCCTCGTCTAGGAACAATATGACAGCAAAGATGTACCTGCAACTGTGTTTTTTCTCACTACATGATCGATATTTCAAAGCAACTTTGGAAAGCCTGTTTCGATCCTCCCCATTTTTATCTGTAATATTTTAGGAAGCACCATGGTTAATTAGCTGAAGAAAGTGCTCTACAGGTCACACTCTGGTTAGGGCCATATAGATACTGTATGATCGTAATCAGCTGCAGAATAATTATGCAGGTCTCCTAGACCATGTGTTGCCAGTCTGGAGGACCACACACCTGCTGGTTTTCATTCCTGCTGAGCTTGAATACTTAATTGAAGTAATAAGTTAACTGAGAGGAATATTTGCAAGGTTTCTTTTTTATGCAAACACTTGAGATTTTACGTGGTTCAAAGGCAACCTCCACCTTGCTTAAGAGCTGCAAAGGAGTCAACCAGTTCAGATGAATCCTATTATTATATCTACAAAGAATTTAAGGAGGCCTTGGTTAGAAAAAGGAACCAGCAGGTGTACGGGCCACCAGGAGCAGGTTAGGGGACCCCTGTCCTAGAGTAAGATAAGAGTAAGACAAAACTGCCAGGCCATTTCTTGAAAAGTGCAGGCGTGTTATCCCAGCATCCTTGCTGAACTTCCCCCTGGCCTTTAGCAATCATGGCCTCCTTATAATCCCCATCTCTGAACTGGCTTCACTCTTTTCTCTTGCCCACTGAGAGCTGGTGTGGTGGGGGCTGTACTGGTGTACTTTGGCTGCTGTCGCATCATCCAGGTGGGGGCTTCACATTGGTGGTAGCAGTGGGATTCCCCATTACCTGTAAAGCGCTTTGAGTGGAGTGTCCAGAAAAGCCCTATGTAAGTGTACGGAATTATTGAGTGTTCCAGTGATGTCGTTGCCCGGGACTCTTTTGAGCCTTTGGTGCAGTGGCGCCACCTGCTGCTCATGAGGAGCTGCGCGCGCCAGGCGCCCAGATCACAATGAAGGGAAGAGCTCGCCCCGCTGAGACCCTTACCTTTCTCGAGGCTCAGCGAGTCGATGGCCCTGTACCCGGCGTCGCAGATCCCATGCTTGGCACCGGCAGCCATCACGGCGCGGTACACGGGAACGCAGGCCTGAGCAGGCATGTGCAGCTCCCAGCCCATCTCGCCCACGAAGGAGAGGCGCATGGCCCGAACCTGCCGACAGCAAGGACACAGATCTTCACACCCGGCGTTCGTCTTTGCTCTCAATTTTTGGCCGGCCCCTTTGAAGAAAATCATGAGGTTGCTCAGCGACAAATGTCTCCTGCCTGGTGTCAGATTTTGGAGGGGTTACAGTTTCAGCACTGAGAGGGTGAGGAGGCTGCCTCTGCTGGTTCTCCCATCTCGGTTCAGTCTGGGAGATGACATCTCACCCAATGGAAGTACCAGCTTCTGCCAGTGGAAATAGTGCTGATGTTCTACCGTTGAATCAAGAAAAGCTGATGTGCATAATGAAACTGAATTCTCTACCACGGAGAAATTCTACTCATTTAATATGAAAACTTGAGTGTAACCTGACGAATGAGTCTTCAGCACATCTGTTTTTTTATTAACAAAAAAACTGGTTTATCTCAGGTTTTACCCACGAGGATCGGCACACACATTGGGAGACAGCCTTTTAAAAAATGTGCGTGGCATTATTGCATCAACACTGTTCGTACTGTGCATGTCTCATGAGACCCAGCACGGTCACAGGAATGATGATACTTGCACTTGCTAGGCCACTCCTACCAGGCCCATCGTACCTGTCAAAATGGGCCCATTTCTGTCCAAAAGATGGAACTTATTCCATACTATTCTTATTCTGGTCTCCTTACTGACCCCCAAGCCCGTCTACATTGTATGGGCGACAGGGCCTTCTCCTGTTATGCCCCCAAGCTCTGGAACTCTCTGCCCAAGGATATCAGAGAGTCACCTTCTCTAAACTCCTTCAAATCCAGACTCAAAACCCTCTTCTTTAGAAGAGCCTTTACTGAACTGGTTCCATTCTTCACCCCTCTGCTTTTCTTAGTACCACCATCCACGGTCTGTATATTGTTATTGTGTTTTATCTTATGTATTCTTTTTATTAAGTGTTGTTGTCATTCTGTAATGCGCTTTGAGAAGCCACCTTTAAAGGCGCTATATTATTATTCGACAATTACACAATTCTTCATAACGATGGCTATGCAAATCCAGGCTATGACTGCTGTAATGCGAATGATGACTGTTGTCGCCACCAGACTCAAATGTGCTTTCAAAAGTAGCTCTGAGCCTCTGAAATACAGCGATTTGAGATGAGCACGCAAACTTACAGCGCAGATGAAATGTGAGATCGGACAGCTCTAACCATCTTTAGTTGGTCCAACACAAAATGATTGTGTGTCGCCGGTGAGAATCCTTGTATTGACCGAGTGTACTGGTCGCCTCTCTTTTTTGTTGGCGTTTTCAGGAAACCCCAAATTTCCCCCAGGTTCAAGGGGGGGGGTTTCTTCTTCAGGCCCTTGATTGCACGGCTTTTGCTTTGCTGCTGGGGCTGACACTTCACAACAGCCTCAGGAAAGGACATAAGCATTCTACGTGGTAGCACACAGTTCCACGTCCCTACTCCGAGTCTTCTCCTTCCCCAGCTTAACTCGTTTCGCCACAGAATGCCCCACTTGAAGACCGAAAGGGGCTGAGTTACACTTTTTTCTCATCTACCTGCTCGCTTTTTGTGTTTCGGGCTCCTGCCGAACTTCCTGCCCTATTTTTAGCGACTCCTGAAGAGGTCCACCCACGCTCCAGTGCTCCGCTAATCTCTCTCAGTTCACTGGAGGGTTGTTTTTTTTCGGGATCACGCATTTGAAAGACAAGGTGTCTGAGCCATACCAATCGCTTTAGCTCTAAAAGTGGGCCAGATCAGTCTTCCTGTAGGTCAGCAGTCACAAGGGACAATGGGAGTGCTGTTCGCTCATGCACACAAATCACAGCACTGCATATGCTTCAGAGCACTTTAGAGGGCAGCACAGAGCGGTCATTAGGACTTCAGACTCCCAACTGGAAGGATTTCCTGTTGGAGACACTGATATTGTACCCCTTGTGCAAGACACGTCTCCTTACTTGCTCCAGGCTACCCAGCAATGGGTACCAGCATTATTGGGAAGAATGTAATGATGGTTTACTGTCCCGTTCAGAGGGAATCCTGCACTCTCAGGCGACTGACCACTGCAGAAACCAGAATGAGGTCCAGTTGGATGGGTCTCTAGGGTACTACTCGATTAAATGGGACATTTAATACACAATTCAGAGAGAAAACTACAGCGCTCTGCAACCCACGTTTAGCATTCGGGACAATGACGGATCAGACTGCAGGCTGTACCAACTACCAAGTTACAAGTATGCAGCAGAAACTGTCTAGGAGTTATGCATAAACAGTTAAAAATACACAGATATGGGATACGGTGTAAAAAGCCAATACCATATCGATTATACATCTTAATCTATAGTGTTGACCTCATTCACATGGGTGTCCCGTGCAAACTGGGTAAACACACAATCAAAGTGAAGCAGGTTTATTGGGATGGGTTCACCAAAGATCTTTTAATATGTTATTTCGTTTGGACGAAAGGGCAAACTTTAAACCCAGAGTTAACGATCATCGAGCAGTTTAACCTGTGCAATTCTTTGCTGCTTTGATTCTGCTCAAAAAGCACTTCAGCTTTGCAATTCTTGTTGCAAGAAGAAAAACAAATTCAGCTTTCTACAGCATCTCAGTGAAGCAGAAGACACGATTCTTTAACAAGTGTTCGGAACTGTTGTTTCACATGATCTCTTTTGCCCCCCTCTCAATGTAAACGATTATGTGTCATTCTCTGTGACAGAGCTCCTGCGACTAAATAAAGGAGTTAGGGGGGCTAGAAAATTTGAGACTGGGGACTGCACTGAGACATACAGTACTGTAAAAAATAAATATAACAGTAACTTGGAAAAAACAAGCCTTTTCAACACAATTGCGGTCTGTCATCTGTAGGGACTGTAAATAATGAAGATTTAACCTGCTTCAAGAATTAATTTCAATGTTTCTTGCATAATATTCACAGAAATCCGCTGTCCACCCACATCAAATCCCAAGCTTATTGCTTCCTATTTAAAAACAAGAACATTCTGTTCCCCTCCAGTGCACACTCAAACGGTTTCTGGAATTCTCCCGGAGGTAGTCTGTTCTGCAGAGATGCAGATGGAAACAGAGGGCAAGAATGTTTTGATCCCAACAGTACAGTGTCCAGATTAGCCAGGATGCATGAGGTGTGTGATCCAGGGACAGGACAACTGGGGAAACTGCAGAACCCAAGTTTTTAGAGCTGGATAAATAAAAGATGAGTCTTCACGTTGCACTGTAACAGCTGACTTACCGAAAGTCTGCATGAACTAGTGAAACAATGAGCTTTATTGTAACTAGTGATTTACTACTGGATCACCACTGGTGGGTTAAGGTGATTCTTCACCATCATACTTATTCATTATGGGCTTTCCCTTTTATTAGAGGGAAAAATTCCAACGCCGCAGGGGACAGAGAATGAACCATTATTCATTGTTCTTAGGTACACAGTCCCATTATTTAAAAAAAACCCAAACAAAACATGCCCATCAATGCAGTAGGCGATTGCACCAGAAGGATTTGAAGAGAGGGTTATCCAAATGGTCAAAACCCTTTATTAAATGAAACCAATTTCAGGAGATTCTCCAAGTCCTAAACTAGGTTTTGAAGGAAGGGAGTGCCACAATTTGACCTATGTGGTGTTGCTTCACTAAGAGTACAGATCCCTTCAAAAAGTTTATTGGCTGAAGTATATACAGTATATATTGTATGCTGACTGGATATCTGGACATGCAGAAGGTGAGAGGGTGTGACAGAAAAGAGCTTTAAGAAGTTCTTGGGGGACCATCTATTTTATTCTGATTTTTAGGGCTTAAGAATGACTAAATAAGAAATGTACTGTTACAGTCTCAGGTGACTAGGAAGCGTCTCTAATAGTCTAGAGAAAGTGTGTGACACCTGGGAGTGTCAACATTTCTAGCTTCAAAACAGAGGGAGGTGTTTGCGGAGATGTAGGGGGGTCCAGATTCTGTGATCCTTTGTTTACATTATTTATTAAGGTTCTTGGTAAATGATTATGTCAATCAACCGTCCAGAAAGACACCCTATAAGATCAGATCAAGATCAGATTGGAAAAAGTAAGACAGAGGAGACAGGAGGAGACGGAACATTCTGGCGAGAGGTCCTTGTTGGAGGTCATCCAGAAAGACCCGAAGGGAGGCAAGTATTTGAATCTTGCCAAGAGAGCTTGCTATTGTTTGTAGGGAACCTGGATCTCTTGCGTGAAGAATCTCTCAGTTAAAATGGCCTCTCCTGCTGACTGGGTGCAGTTGAGAACAGTTATTTTTTGGCATATGGGTTTGCAGAGAGAGAAATTTAATTGTAGCTTGTATTCTATTTAGTTTAGAAGGTAGCTTGTCTCTTATTTTGGCCTCTGTAGGCATTATTAAAAAACTTGATAGCGGTCTGAGGGTTTTCTGGGTGGTCTAGACAGGTCTCCGGTACACCCTGTGTGTACGTACTGCGCAAAGGAAAACTTGTGTGTTGTATGCAGTGTTTGTATTGTCACTGTTAATAAATATTTGTTCAACCAGATGTGTCTGAATTATTGCTCTTTTCACCAAAACTGCGTCAGAGAAGAAGACATTCACATGCCTCTGACGAGATCAACAACTCTGGCAACTTCTTGGAGAAATCCTTACTGTTTGGCGGTCATGATTATTTAGTTTAGTTATTGACTAAGCCACTCAGTCAATTCCTGTCGTTCAACGTTTTCCTAACTCCCCCAATTTGGTGACAATGTAAATACTCACCGACTTCATAAAGATTCGGGATGAACCACATTCAAACTACATTGCAATAAAGTGCAACACTTTCTTTTCCCTTTCGGTATTTGCAAGGAAACGTTTGGGTACCAGAGGCATTAACGAAGGAGAAGGCTTGTGTTCTCAGGTCGCTTAACGCAATAGAAAAATCTACAGGCACTTAGACTCATTAGGGACTTTTGTATCCTGGTCTGGCCAAATTCTCCCCAAACAAACAACAAAAGAATTTCCCAAAACATCAAGACAGTTTTACTTATCCCTCTTTCACAGGC